TCACCTTTGCATCGTCCATTTCTTTATTCCCCTTCCTCCTACCTCCCTGTCCCGCCCCCTCCACCCGCCAACACTCACCCTCCTTCTCCTCTCTCCAACGCCAACACTCACCCTCCTCCTCCACCCTCCACCCGCCAACACTCATCTCCTCCTTCACCCTTCATGCGCTAAGACTCACCCTCGACCTCCTCCTTCAGCGTACGACTTCACCTTCGCGCGAGCCGTGGAGGGGCGCCGCCTCGTGCCCTACGGAGAGGCGGGCGACTGCTACAGCAAGGCCAAGTGCCCCCAGGGAGGCTTCTCCATCAACCTGGCGGGGACGGAGCTGGCGGTCTCCTCCAGGACCACGTGGCTCAGCAAGGGCAGCCACGCGGCGCACTGGATCAACAGATTAGATGTGAGTTGGGGATGGGTGGGTTGGGGGGTAGATGGGTTATGGGGAGTGGGTACGGGTGGGTTTGGGGTTTTTAGGGAGAGTAGGATCAGGTGGGTTGAGTGTAGATTTGGGTGAAATGGGCCGTGTTCTGGAAAGGTCGTGTTCTGAGTCCTACGTCAGTCAATCCACTACACTGTAAACTGAAACGCTGCCACAATAGAAACGAAATATAACGTGTCATTCCTAGCCAATAAGCATTATTCTAATCCTGTATACGCGTTACTTGCGTTTGTGCTTGTATCCCCACTATATAATCCTAATATCTCTTTCGTCTTACAGGATAACCAGAGAATCCTAGGGCGGTGTGGAGGATACTGTGGCACGTGCACTCCCGACCCTTCCATTGGCATCAAGCTGGGTCTGAGGGACGGTTGACCCCCCGACCGCGTAGAGGCTTTGAGAAGGATCAAATACTACTCTTAAGGTGTTCTATGGGTTCGTGCTCGTGTGTGTCGTGTCCTCTGCTAAGAAGAAAAGGGGAGGAAAATGAATGAAAAAAAGATAAAAACGACGATTCAAGTTGCTCATTACGAGAGAAAGAGAGACTTCTTCGGGCGATGAAACGTCCAGAAGGTTCTTGATGTTGTGGTCTGAAGGAAAGACGTTTCGAGAGCGCCGGAAAACGCAGGATCTATTACCTTCAAGGCATCTTCCCCTGACTGAATGCTGCCAACAGAAAGCAATATAAACAGTGAGGTGTACTTGTAAACAAAGACAATGAAGTTTAGATGTAAGGCAACTTTTAGTGTAGCAGAAGTAAGACAATAACAACCAAATATTTAAACACTGCCATTATGTTACATGTATGTATTAAAAAAAAGTAATAATGAAGATAATAATGATAATGAAAGATCTATGGAGAAATCGCATTGATCTTATAGCTCTCTTGTGTAATAAAAGTGATTCTGGAACACAGTCGCAGGAATGCATTCAAGGCAAAGAAAGATTCCGAAATCCACAAGCAAAAAAACAAAAAAAAAAAGAAGAAAGCAGGGTGGGGGAAATGATTACCTTCTGGCACACACCAGCCTTCCTCTGATCTCAAGATAAAAAAGAAAGGGAGAGTGTAACTAACCTTCGCTTTACGGTAGTATGGTTATGTAAAAATTCGGAAGACTGACAAAGGGAAATTTTACGTAAATATAAAAAAAGCATGTCCAGATTACAGATAGTTTATGCTAGACAGTCGAGATGGTTTAGGTACATTATCACAAAGACTCATTGTTTTGCTTTGTTTTTAGCCATGTGAGTAGAATGAACTAAGGCGTATCACACACAGCCAAATAGGATTTGAACATCAGTACAAAAATACAAAGATTGAAGGTTTTTAGGAAAAGAATGATTTTTAAGATGACTTACAGACCAAATTAAGGAATGCATTTTAATGGAAACATCTGTTGTAGCTTACGAGTGTCAATTTGGTTCTTTTGACAATATTGGCGTATTCCGAGTAAATGGCGTAGTAAAAATAGACATTACTAAATATGAGTCAAAAAGGTCAATGTAGCTAAAACGTCTTAGCTGGGTAGTTACTGTTATCTTTCATTTTGATGTATATTTCTTAGAATTTGCCTAATAGATGCTATTGATGAAGAGATCATAATTAGAGTAAGGTGACTATAAGTTTTAAGGTTGCATTTTTCTTTTTTTAGAGAGATTTAATTTTAAGATTTTGCACTAATTACTGCATAGAAATGTGAACATGCTTTGAGTGTACTTTGAGTCTGGCATCTCAGGAACGGCTCATACGTTTGGGAATAGATGCTGTTGCAGAGAGAGAGAAAGAGAAAAAGTAAAAGAGAGAGATATTAGCTTCATGGTCTGCTTGCTGTGTAATTTGACTTGTCTCACTTGAAGGATTCTGTGAGCTGTCTGCAACAAGGATTCCTAAAACAACCATAACGATAGCCCTGGTTGGCTGTGTGTCCTCCTCAGATCGGTGTCTACCTTGAGTGTCCGTTTCAGGCAACGCCACTCCTCCTCTGCCAATAGTAGTGCATGATGTGGCTGGTTCACGAAGCACCACTGATTGACTGCCACTGACTGCTTTCTCTGCCTGGTTGGCCGACGACCGGACGGGCCCTGTTCTCTGCCGTGTCCCCTTGCTCCTGGTGTGTTTCTCTGAGATCTGTTCCTCCTTGTATATGAATATATATATTTGATGTGGTGTTTGCAAATGCCTTTGGTGTCATGAGGACTGAGTGTGGTTCTTTTGGAAAAAAGGTAGCCTTATTTATTCATTTTTGATGGTATTTATGTAATATACACATCGTTTACTTCTTTGTATTACTACTAAATAGACCTAGATAAGTAATGTGAAACAACACTGCCATCATTACAATCTTTGATCATAATGACCTAGCTCCTGCGATACTTACACTGCCAGCTTTCCCTTCAAAGTGTCTCTCCTTTGTTTCCCCCAATCACTGTCATTCTCTCAATTGGCCGTGGTCACGTGACCCCATTTTCATACGAAGGTCTTTTTTGGTCCAATGCGCCGCTCCTTTGCCACTGCGTCCAGACAGCTACGTAGCTCCTGATGGAAGTATGACCCACTTCGCAGTCTCTTCTGAGGAGACTTTTACAGCATAAGAAGTGGACCTACTCATTACGTTTCTCCCGAATGCTATTGTTGATGCTCCTCATTCCCACCGTATCTATGCATTTTTGAATAGGAAGGAAGAATAACTATTGTCTTATCATCTCTCTGTGTATCTTACGTGATGCTAAGGTTTTGTTTGGGTATGTGCCTCTCTTGGCTCGATCATTATTTTATTTTTTCCTCCACGTTGATGGTGCCATATGAGATTTCTTTCTTAAATGTTTTATTTCTTAGGTTAGCTTTATATGTCTTGTTTCTGTATCTTTTTTGTTTATATATATATATAAGCTTTCATGACCACACCATGGACTATCTGAACTTTTACTGATATGGGAATTAACTTTTCATCGGGACTGTGCATTGCAAGAATTTTTTTAAGAGTAACTTTTTTAGGCAGCAAATTAATACAAAATGTGAATCAGCATTTTAGAAATTATGACACGAATATTTTGCAAAGCTCTTCCCTAATTGCAATGACTGTTCCTTAAGGTTGTACACTTGAGTGGTCATCAAAGGTAGATCTGAAATCTATGATATATATATGCATACGTATATATATCATAAACTGTCATTCAGGTCAATTTTAGTTGTACGTGTTTAATATCTTATGGTTGTTCTTTGATCACTTTTTTAATATGATTATATTTTTACTGATAGTTCATTTGCGATCCGAAACACAAATAATATGTTATGTTTTTTTTTCAGTTAATGGATATTTATAACAGGGCATAGAAGAGCAGGCTTTGATTTTAGAAAGATATGTATACTGTGACTGTTATATTCACGCATATGCACCTTGCACTCATGCATTCGACACTCGCGTGCGCAACATGCTGCACACACACGAAGTGTTATTGACAAGTAAAATGTATTGAATTATTAACTAACCATGTGCTAAAAAGGGAAATTTTAATAATCGTAGAGAATATGATTGGTGAATTAGATTTAGAAAATAGCGCAGGTTATCGTACTTGACATAAATATCCATAAAAGATAAAGCAAACGAGATTGGCCTTGCACGACCATTCCAACTTCAATGACATTTTACTCTATGGTAGCTTTGTGGTTTTCTTTCTTTTTAGTTGTTACTTTGCTGTATATATTGTATATATGTGTACATATGTTATACTGTTAGTTACATGTAATTTCCAGTGTTAATCTAGTCAGTATCTTTTTTTTTCATTCTTTTTTTGTATTTTTGGTTTCAACATTTTTTTTTTTTTTTTAATGGTGATGGTATACTCTTTCTCTCTCTCTGTTTTTGTGCATTTCTTTTACTTTTTGATAGCCTGCTTTGAAGAGAAAATATGTGAGGATATTGTAAGGAATAACACAAAATCCCATATTTTGTGAATGGTTGAAAATATCGTTGAAAATCTTTTTCCTGCACACAGCTAAATGAGTAATGTAGAAAGATGATTGTATAACTACATATGATAAAAAATAGCACAAAAATAGAAAAAAAAGCAATTTATATTTCCTAAAATGAGAATCGTAAGGTTTCCAAAATGCTCATATTTTGTAATTTTGTATGATGGGAAAAGATATATATATTTGTAATAACCATGTGCCGAAAAAAGGATTATTATGCGCTGATATTAATGGAAATATGTGGTGTACATCTTTCCAATATGCAATACAATATATGACCTATACTTCTTGTTTGAAGAATTATTTTATTTATTATTTTTTTGTTTTCCACCAAATCCGCATTTCTCTCGTGTCTGCAAATGATGCATGAATCTCCTTTCGAAATACTCAAACAGTTGTCCCAAACAAGAAGTATAACGTCGCAAAAATGCTAGGATAAAATTTGCGGTTATGTTGAGTCCATGTCGCTTCTACTTTTATTGTTACTAACGGGATATGATGGCCGATGATGTTCTCCGCCTTGTCTCCTTTTTATTTTTTTCTAATGATTTGTAACTTATTCAATAAAGTGATTTTCTAAGACTGGTGCCACCCTTTGCCTTTTCAATGCCAACATCCGGAACTCTTGGGGTCGGGGTCTCGGCTCAGCAGTCGAGGGGCCTCCGGGCGACTTCGGAAGACCCACGTTCGAGCCCTCTTGGATTCCGAAGGGGATCCGATCGGGTAAAAGGAAAAGAAAGAAGGAAAAAGAGGAAAAGAAAGAAAGAAAAAATAGAAAGAAGGAAAAAAGAGGAAAAGAAAGAAAAGAAATAAAGATTAGAAACGAAATACTGTGAAGAGGGAGGAAAACAGATACGAAGCTGGGCATACATTGGTCTTGCTACGGGAGGCCAATGGATTAAATTCCACGGAAAAAGCAGAAATGTGGAAGATTCTAGACCTTCGACACAGCTCTTTATGTTACGAAAGTTCATTTGTGTGTTCACATTTTCACTTTGTTGTCTAGTAGATAAAAATATATATATATTTTTCACTGATAAGGAAGTAGTCGAATTTTAGTTACTGGATGTTGTCATTTTCTTCCTTAAGCAGACGAAATCCTCCAAAATATAACACTGATGTAATATGATAGAATTTAGACGAAGGTAAATTGAAGCTCAGGATATATAGTTTATGAAAAATCGCAAAGGAAAAAAAATGCTACAACTTAAGGGGATTCTTTAAAAAAAAAATGTAATTCTGTAAAAAATGAAGATACGGACATTTTTTTTCAAATTGCCAAAAAGTAAACCTCCATCTCTATCTTCCCCCGCTCACTCTTTCCCTCTCTCTCTCTCTCTTTCTCAATATCTCTGATTTATCTATTTCCTCCTCTCCTTTCCTCCTCTCTCTCTGTCTCTCCCTCCTCCTCTCCCCCCCCTCTCTCTCTCTCTCTTTTCTACTCTCTGTCTCTCTCCTCGCTTCCTCTCCCTTTCTCGCTCTCGCACTCTTTCGCTCTCTTTCTCCCTCTCCTTCCCTTCGTCTCTCCCTATCCCCCCCCTCTTTGACTCTCTCTCCTTTCCCTTCTTCTCTCTCACTCTTTCTCTTTCTCCATCTCCCTCTCCCCCCCCCGGCTCTCTTCTTTCTCTCTCCTATGTATATATAATATTATATATACTATTATCTAGATATAATATATATAGCCTTCTCTCCCCTTCCCTCTCTCTCTCCTCTCTCTCTTCTCTCTCTCTCTCTCTCTCTCTCTCTCTCTCTCTCTCTCTCTCTCTCTCTCTCTCTCTCTCTCTCTCTCTCTCTCTCCTCTCTCTCTCTCTCTCTCTTCTCTCTCTCTCTCTCTTCCTCTCCTCTCTCTCTCTCTCTCTCTCTCTCTCTCTCTCTCTCTCTCTCTCTCTCTCTCTCTTCTCTCTCTCTCTCTCTCTCTCTCCTCTCCTTTCTCTCTCCTCTCTCTCCCTCTCTCTCTCCTCTCCCTCTCTCTCCTCCCTCCTCTCTTCCTCCCTATCTCTCTCTCCCTCCCTCCTTTCCCTACTTCCCCCCCTTCTCTCTCTCTTTCTCTCTCTCCTCCCTCCCCTCTCTCTCTCTCTCTCTCTCTCTCTCTCTCTCTCTCTCTCTCTCTCTCTCTGTCTCTCTCTCTCTCTCCTCTCTCTCTCTCTCTCTCTCTCTCTCTCTCTCTCTCTCTCTCTCTCTCTCTCTCCTCTTCTCTCTCTCTCTCTCTTCTCTCTCTCTCTCTCTCTCTCTCTCTCTATCTCTCTCTATCTCTTTCTTCTCTCTCCTTCTCTCCTTTCCCTTCCTCCCTCTTTCTCTGTCTCCCTCCCTCCCGCAATGCAATGGAGTCCATAAGGTCATGTCACCAATATGTCAGCTCTTAACAAAATAAGAAATAGCGCACCGTGGGCCTCCTTGAGCCTGGAGTTGCCGTGGATAGATCAAAACTAATACAATCATAAATTTCGTGTGAATATCAAACCTTCAGTGAATCTAATGAATTATCAGTACAACTAATACCAACACAAAGGAACTTATGTACCAATACCTGGTTATAAAGATAAACAATTCTATTGGAAATAATAACCTATGTCTTGACACGCGACCGACGTTATTTAGCAGGCATTAATTATCAATCATATCACTAACTTTGCCTATTCACATAAGGTAACATACTCGGACATCCAACGCCATTACAGGATCCGCAGCGTATGAAAATCGATTGTGAGTACGGTTAAGCACTCAAAAGTGAGACTCATAAAGGTGTTTCTCTCAGACCCCGGCATCCCCAAAGATCAGCTGATAATTGCAAAACATACTTTATTCTCCACAGCAAATGTTTTATGAAGTTTTGTGCAAATTGCTATATGAATGAATGTTTTGAATCCTTTTCATTAAAATAGATAATAAAAAGCTAACATTTACATACGTTGATAATCGGTCCATGCACATTAATGAAAAAAAATAAAAAAAATTGACCTGTTACATATATATGCATAAAAATCGAGCAATAAAATTAACAGTATTCTTTTTCCAAATGACTCTCTTACACCTCCTCCTCCTCATTGGAAGAGAAGGAGGAGGAAGATGTGGAGGAGGAGGGGAGAAGGAG